CACCTTATTCTCAGTGTTGAAACCTTTGGATATCCACAGAAGGGTCCACCTTATTCTCAGTGTTGAAACCTTTGGGTATCCACAGAAGGGTCCACCTTATTCTCAGTGTTGAAACCTTTGGATATCCACAGAAGGGTCCACCTTATTCTCAGTGTTGAAACCTTTGGATATCCACAGAAGAATACACCCTATTCTCAGTGTTGAAACCTTTGGATATCCACAGAAGAATACACCCTATTCTCAGTGTTGAAACCTTTGGATATCCACAGAAGAATACACCCTATTCTCAGTGTTGAAACATCTAGATATCCACAGAAGAGTCCACCTTATTCTCAGTGTTGAAACATCTAGATATCCACAGAAGATTACACTTTATTCTCAACATTGAAAACTCTTGGTTTCAATGGAATGATGGTAAATATCACTATAAATTGAATGTTTAAACTACCTAGAAATTACTTGTTAGATCTTATTTAGGCAAAGTTTCATTATTTTTCCAATTTTTTGAAACTTTTTAGCATTTTACAATATAGATTTATCCAGTTTCATATACACTTTTCTCATAGAAACAGTAAAGATGTCATGGCTTTTGAAGTTATCCACAAACTGTAAACATGTTATACTTTTTACACATGTTGATATTTCTGAAAGTGTCATTGCATTTACTCATGAAGATCTGATACTGGTATCTTACTGTAAAGATTGGTAAATACGCATAGATTTGCTTAATGAATGGTTATAAGTATATATATACATGTTTGTTTGTGTAGTTCAAATACTAAATTTGTATGTGTAAGTATGCCAGCTGATAAAGTTGGGTGTTCTTACTACATTTCTTATGTATTTTATATAGACTATTTAAACTGCTTCAATCCAGTGCTGCTATTTAACATTAATTGTCAATAAGTTCTGTATATCATGTACTAGGAACTGCTGTTTTGTAAGTATTTTCCTTTTACAACACTTGTCATGTTACTCTCCGAGTTGCAGCAGTTACTTTGCTGGCTTCAAAGAGATGTCATGCATGTGCACCATTCATCATCAAGGAGAAAAAGTGAAATGGCTAAGATAAGAAAATGAATAACGTAAGAGGTATTAGAATCTCTCTGGTGCATACCCGAGAACCCCTGAAAGATTCCTGGTGATCAGAGGTTGGGAAGTTGGAAATTTTTCATGGGACTGGGGGAGAAATATCCAAGCCATTTTATATAATAAGTTGTTGTTTTTTTATCCCTTAAGGAAATGTTTAAACAAATTTTAAGTGCTTGTTTAGATCTGATAATAGTGAAGTTTTGTTTGCAAGGAAAATTACATATTTAAATTTGTTTAGTTTATACATTTTTACATCATCTCAAAAGATGTTTTCATATGTGTCAATTGTGATGCTCTTTGTTATGATGCAAGACCTCTGGTTTTGGCTTCCTTGAATGTTATTCAGCATTCAGAAAAGTGATGAAACACCAAGTTGGACTTCATCTTTTTCTGTTTCTTTCTCGTCAGTTGGTTATGGAAGTATTTAAAAATAGCATTTTAGATCGGCATTCTGATTAAAAATTGATTAGATTGAGTACTAGAATTGTGAGAGTAAGTACCTGCCTTTTTTAACTTCATACTTTATCACTTTTATTAAGCTTCAAATACTAAAATTAACCTAATATACCAAACTGTATGGTGTGACTTATAACAATATCTTCAAAATTGTTTTCCTAAATACACTTACTCATACTTCATGAATGCAACATATCAAAATGTATTTATTGACTGTTTTTGTCTTCCATTGCTGTATCATTTTAAATTGAAACGTATTTCATATAGTAATATTTTTTGGATTGACTTTGCTTTTTTAAGTTGTAGGTGAAACATTCATTATAGATATGCACATGTGATACACATGCATTTTCTGCCAATTCCAGTGAGGGAGTAGCAACCAACTGCTCAGAACCTCAACTTTATTTTCTTTAGAATTAAGTAAAAAATTAACACTTTTTTTTTATTCCCTATTTATCCTTTGAAGTCTTTTCATCTTCTGTACTGATAAATAGTTACATTATTTTTTCTGTCTTTTTAAGAACAAATGTTTTTGGGGTCTTAAGTTACCCAACTGTAATCCTTACACTTCGGTAAGTGTAGTTCAAGTCCCTTTTCATTTTCATAAAAAGAAAACAAAAAAAAAACCTCCAACGTTGTTACAGTTTTTTATCATTCTATTTTTGTGATGTACTTTAATAATAGCAGCAGCATTTTGTATAAGAACATGTTTACTCTTGACAAGTGATGTGTTAAAAGTTGATGCTTCCATCCAGAAAAATCTTCCAGCATAATAGTAAGCACAGTTATGTAAGGTTTGTAAGTTAATCAACCTGAAATTTTAACTGTTGCTAAAGGAATAGTCACAAGTCCTCAAGTTAAAGATGATATGATTACTATAAATAGCTGTAAGTCCTGATACCTGACTTTAAAACTTATCAGTGGATTTTGTATTATACAATCTTAAAATGTCTGAAGAGGAGCTTTTATTACATAGTTTCCAACAGTGTAACCTCAACATGATCTTCACTTACTCAGAGTGAGACTATTTTTTGACATTTTATGTACTCTAAATAAGATATATATTATGTAAAATTAAGAGGAATGTATCGAGATAAGTTATCTTGTAGCTGTATGAAGTTGTCCCGCAACAGCAATAATTATTGCTAGTAAAGATTAAGAGCAATATTAGCTTACTTACTTTTGTTTTTGGTAAAATATTATAGATAATTTTTTTTTTTTTGCAATTACTGTTGTTATTATACTTTAATAAATGTTTACTATTGTTAGTAGTAGTAGTTGTATGGGCTAGAGTTGATGAACTGCATTTGTGTTTTATATAACCTTTGATTTGTGTGAACTATGACCTTCGTATGTTTTCAACCATTTGGTGGATAAGTGTAATATCACCAATTTTAATCTACTGAGTTAACACTAAACCAATAGTGACATTTTTAGTGCTATTGTTGTAATGTATTCTGTTACACAGGTAGTTGGAAACACAGAAACATGTACTTGTTTTCATGTTTAAAAAGTGAAAGACGTTAGTCGGCTACAT